TATCTCCTCCCACGATGGCCAGCCTGCAAGGCCCTGCAGCCAAGGTGCCCCGCGGCCACCCATCTCTCCACCCCAGCTGCTCCCCAAGCCGTAGGCACCACAGAGGGAGCGGACGGACCATGCAGGCGAGAGCCCAGCTGCTGACGCTGTCTTGTGCGCAGGTACAGCCTGCAGCACGCTCAGGGAGAGGTAAAGGCTTGCTCAGAAATAGCGTCCCACATACCGCACGGTAACAGCGAGGTAGGGGAAAAGAATGGCTTTCAGCTGATGGCAGTGCCCCAAACTTTTCTGCGGCGAGAAGAGCATCTCCCGGCAGAGGTGAATGACAGCTGCCATTTCCAAGCATCTTGCAGGTGCTGTCTGCTTCACAGAGGGAAAACACGGCATGATTCTACGACAAATACCAGTTCAAGGGTTTCAAGCAAGATTAGAAACCACTTTTCTTGTTGCTTTGATTGCTCGGCATTATTGGCCTGGGACTATTCAGGGGCCAAGCTTCCCACAGAGCTTATTGCCAAATATTACGTGTGCTTGAGACGCCAGTTTGCTCAGGATGCACAGGGCATTCCCACTCGCTCCACAGGGAGCTGCCCAGGCTGTGCCAGAGTGCTGGGGCAGCCCTGAGGCTGTGGACCTCAGCCACAGCAATGCAAAGTTTCCCCCTTATTTTTTTTTTTTTCCCCTTAATTTTTTTTTTTAATTTTTTCAAGAGAGACCCCTACATCGACATCACACCCTGATGCCGTAAGGCGCCTTCCCCAGCGAACAAGGGCTCTGCCCCAGCCCCCTGCGAGCAGAGCACCCTCGAGCAGCACCCACTGCACAGGGTTTAGCAGAAAAAGCCATGATGCCAAGGAGAGAGCTGCACGGTGAGGAAACTGCGTCCTCAGTGCCACTGCATGGCACGCAGCGCACGGGCAGCGGGCTGCAACAACCTGTGTGGACAACAGAGCAAAAGCAGGCACCTGGCACAAGCAGGGAAGTTCCTTCACATCTCCAACACATCCACCACCTAAACCTGAAGCAGTCTTCCTAGCAGTCACGTTTACTAACTGAGGCTAAGGCCCAAGAGATGCTCCACTCTTCCCCACGCTCCAGCTAGAAGTGCCCTCGGAAGGAGAAACCAGCAAAATAAATGAGGAGCACCCCCTGCCACCTCATACTGCTGGGAGTCTCTGTTGGAATTAGATGTGAGAACAGGCTCCCAACTAGCTTCTGGCAGTAGGTCCAGACCACAAGTTCTTCTGCTCAGGACCAAACTCACAACCATCTTGTGCTGCTCTGTACTGCTCAGATGCTGAACCAGGATGGGAGCAGTCAGGAGGTGACGCTAAAGCCTGGAGAAAGGGGGACAGTGACGGTCCCAATGCAGGGCTGTGTCAACCACAGCTTATCTGGTGCAGGAGAACCAAGAAGCTCCCGGGGGGGGAGGGCGGCTGCAAAACCAGTACGGGGGGGCACAAGTGATGAACTGTAGGGTCTCCACGCAATGCTGTTTGAACCAGCGCACCCTGAAAGAGGCATAGTGGATGGATGGATCCACCACTGGCAGTTCAGCCTCAACACGTCACCCCGGGAACTGCACCCTGCTCTACCAGCACGTTGGCCCAAGCAGCGAGGACAAGGCAGGCTAGACCCCAGGGAGGGCAGCGGGCGAGCCCGGCATGGTCCAGAGCCCGGGGGCCATGCAGAGCAGCAGGAAGAAGCTTTCTGGCTCCAGAGCTTAGCCCAGGCTGTCACGTTCAGGGAAACTTCTCACGAATGCAGATGAAATGACAGTATCACTTGATGCTTTTAAGCCCAACCTTGTCTAATCCTATTCAGAGCAGCCCTGGGTGGGAAAGCAGCAGCAACGCCGGAGGTCCTGGACCCCCGTCCTGCTGCTGCCACCGGCCAAGTGGGCTTCCCAATAAAAACCAGGGCTGGGATCAGCGGCGTTTCACCTGCCAGCTCTCTCCATCTTCCGAGAAAAGCAAAACCCAGCCTATTTGGCAGCCAGCCCTTTCCTCAGAAACGAGCCGTCCCAGCTGGAGAGCTGGGAGCAACCAGCTGGATTTTTTCCAAAGAGCCCGGTCACAAAGCAACTGGCAGAAGCGTTAAGGGAAGAAATTTGCTCCGCAGCTACCGGCCAAGTGGCAACGACTCAATCCTTATCGGTGCGTCTCTGGCAGCCGGCGTGCCCGGGGAGGAATGCAGACAGCACCCCAAAAGCTGCACCTCTCCCAAAAGCTGCACCTTTCCAAAGCACCTCTTTCCCAGGCAACTCAACAGATATTACGATCAGATACTGTAATATCATCAGTTAAGGTTTACACGTTTTTAAAGAAAATACTGGTAACCTGATGGTACTTCTGTGTCTGTGGGATCTGGTGGGATTTATTCCAGGTTTGGCTTTTCTGACAGGATGTGGAGTTTTATTACAAAGGCACAGGTATCAAATAAAACCAGCAACATTCTTTTAATTAAATATCCCAATAAAAAAAATTAACACTCAATTTAGGCTTTACGTATTCCTCCCTTATTAAGAGACTAGTTTTGGTTTTTTTTTTTTTCCCTCTGGAAAGGTTTTAGTGCAGTGATTATATAGCAACAGAAAAATAAACTAAAAAAGGCACAAACTGTTTTGTAGGTTTTTTTTTTCTTTCAACTTTTGCTAACACTTTATATTTGTCTATTTTACTTCGGTTAATAAATCACTGAATGCAGCAAGAAAATATTCTGCCGATTTCTGTACACTATACAAAAACCCCTACCAACAGTATATTATTTCAGCTTCAGGAGAAATGTACAGCATAGAAAGACTTTTAAAAATATAGTGCCCCATACAGAAATTTTGTTAATTAACAACTCACGGTCTCTTGCTACAGTGCCCTTCACCATCCTCATTTCCCCCCCCTTATTGCTGGGACACACACTGGGACTCTGCCCCTCCGGCTCCTTATGGGTTGGACTGAGCCCAAGCCTGAGCCTGAGCTCAAGCCCAAGCCCAGCACTGAGCACGCTACCGGGGTTGTGCCAAGCAGCTCCTCCATCCCCGGCATCATTGCCCGGTCCGTGGCCCCCACGGGGAGGGGGTGAGCCCCCTC